ATATTTCATGAAAATTCTCCATTCAAAATATCATGATGCATACTTTATGATATTATGCATAGGTGGAGAACTAGGGTTCATTTCAAGAAACCACTCAGTAGCAATTGAGTTTTTTTTAATATTTTCTAAGTAAAATAAAAAATGGAAGGGATAGGTGTTAGGAATCACACGGTAAAAGATAAGACCTTGTTAGTCCTTAGCTCGCACAAGTTTCTCAACTTCTGAGAGTTGTCGTTCGTATGGGGGCGACAGCTGATTAACGGATGAACATATTTTGAACAGATCTTTTTCAAACACTGTCGTTTCATGATAACTGAATCAAAACACGGAGGAATTAAAATTTAATCACTTTCAATTTCAATCATCCGCTATCATCAGTATTCCTTCCTCATACCGCCCAAGGTCGAAACAAGACAATAAACAACGACAAGTTATTCAAACGATGAAAAAACTGGAGCTCTTTTTGACAAGGTCTCGTAACAACCTTCTAAATCATCACTGCATGTTTCGGAAACGAATATCAATTAACACAACACCACACCAAGAGATGCAAATTTCACAGAAGGATTTAAGAGGATCTTATTTTGACATAGTTTCGTTTCCATTAGCAGCAGCCGAAATCAGAGTCCGATTATAAGTAACTTCATTATCCCAATGTATGCGGTCGGTCTCGTATCTTCAATTACACAATTGAATCTTAGAGAGTAAGAGCCTATTATCATCGACTCCAGGAAGTTGCCTTACTGAAACTGGTAATTAGTGATGCATTATTTTGAAAATTGAATTTGTGTTAACCCTCAGGGGATTCCCTCTAAAGCTTCAGTGAAATTTATGTGAACCGACGAAAGGTCAGTGGGTTTCGAGATTTATACGATGACTCTTGTACAACTTTGATTTTGTTGCATATTGTACTAGGGGAATTCGTAAACTGAAATTCAATCTCAAGTTATTCTGTATTCATATTATGAATGCACTGATTGGTTACTTCATGAAAATAATAACACTAATAATGACAATAATTAGGCAATTACAAGAAGCTTCCATACTTAGATATTGTTTACACGCAATGCCCTCAAGAGTTTAGAACTTTATGTATGTTATATGTATATGTATATAAGAAGGATAATCATACTTTCAGATATACTCCTAATAATTCTCCACTGTCCACATCAAAAGCATTTGAATTTGAAAATAGAAAAAAAACATATTGAGAATAATTCACCGGTAATATAATGTGTGAATTTGGCAATGTAAAGTAATGAATATCATTCAGATAAGTAAATTGATCCGACAATGTCAATTTGAAAAGTTTTTCGTGAATTCTTCATTTAACAAGAACACAATGAGTTAATCTCTGTTGTCATTCTTTATGAACCGAGATGTTTCAATGGAATTCATAGAATTTTGAAAATGTGACAAATTTTCGAAGCTGATTGTCACCTTCAGTAAGTATTGAAGAACCCAAAAACATAGAATACACTTCAAGAAATGAAAATTTCTAGACTCAGTTTATTATTTCAAGAGTCCATGAACAAACTCTTCGTGTTTCCTTTATGCAAATTATGGTTTCGGGCCACGGGAACTACTTTTTAAAAAGACTTTATTTGGATTTACAGACTTTATTGTACAGAAGTTACTCTAACAATCGAATTAACAAAACTGACTCTTCCTTCAAGATAGGTAGCTTCTATGAGTTTATTATAACTTAGTCAGCATTTGATAAATTAGCATAAAGGAGGGTTTTATATACATAACTGTCAAATGCCTTCACATTCTCCAATCATCTTGGCATTTACTCGTATACTGTATCCATAAAGTTGTGACTACCAGTTATCAGAGATATGTTGCGCTGTTGCGCTTGATATTTCAAAGATTTTTGACCATGTGTGGCATAAGGGTTTGCTGGCCAAACTTTAATGCTTTTCGGATCATTTCTGTATATGGCTCTTCAGCTTCCTGAAAAAACGTTCCCTACAAGTGGCCATCGATGGATATCTCTCAAATACTTTCATCAACAACGGTGGTGTTTCCCAGAGATCCATATCGTCTACAACCCTCTTTTTATTGTATAACAACGACTTATTGGTAATAACCAAGAATCCAATATATTGCTTTGCTGACGACAGCACACTTGTCTCGTCATTCCATTTGATTCAAGGACATCGGCTACGGAGGAACATCTTCACCGGCAGCAGGAGGTTGCATATTTTTGTTGGGGGGTTAAAATGGACACCAATGTGTCTTGGCACAATCGTGTCGCTGAAATGGTAAAGGCTGCTTCTCAAAAGCTTGACACACTGTTTTGAACCAGAAAACTATACACACCTCAGCAAATTCTAATGCTTCATAAAGCTCCGATCATACCTTCTTTGGAGTACTGTTCTCATGTCCCCAAACATACCCTGAAGTTGATGGATTCCATCCAGAAAAGAGCCATCCGCCTGATTGGAGACGCGAACATCACGTGCAACCTTGATAGCCTGGAACATCGAAGAAAGGTTGGAGATTTGTCTGTCTTTTATAGATACTCTCGCGGGAGGTATTACAAGTGACTTGGCACATTTGATTCCATCAAGAGCGGTACATATCAGATATACGCGACGGATTGTGGCTGCTCATCGTTTTGAGGTTCGACTCCGTACACCTCGAACTTTACTGTTCTAGAACTCTTTCATCTGGAGAACTGCGTTTATGTGAAATGAACTTCCTGGGAACGTTTTTTCAAATGGATTTGTTCTCCAGCGATTCAAATCCAATGTGAATCGCTAATTTCTGCACAGAAACCGCTCTGAGAGCGCCTTAAGGATTTTTGTGTAGTGTTTGTGTTTCGTCCTTGGAAAAAAAATAGACATTCTTGAAGAAGTTTATGAATAATTTCAGCCAGATATGGGTGACGTTTATGAAAATATAACTATAACATAACATAACTTGTCATTTGTGATGCAATGTTTGGAACCTTTGGTGTACTAATGGATATTACTAGAGTTTCTCCAACACCAAACCATTATTTTAAAACCTCGACACCTGTTTCGATCACCAAGTGATCATATTCAAGAGAAAGATCAAACAGTGCGATCTTCCTCTTGAAGATGATCACTTGGTGATCGAAATTTCGGGTCAAGGGGTTAAACTAATGGTTTGGTGTTGGAAAAAAATTCCAACTATGTTCATAACTTGTCATGAATGTATAATGGGTCACATGTTGCCTAAGTACTGTGGTCCAACACTCACCCTCCCTACTCTACAGATACGGACACAGAACTTGTCATATTCGATAATCAAAAAGTTTTTCATAAGTACTCATCCTAATATTTACTACCTACGTTAGTTATCGTAATCCCTTTGAATCAACCGTTTGGAATATCTACGTAATTGAGAAAAAAGTTGATACAGATGTTGTCCTCCATATTTTTTAAATATTGGCATTGGTCAACAGAAGAGGTCCAACTCTGCTCCACAACAACGCCCGTCCGCACGTTTCACAAATCACTGTCTAAAAATTAAACGAATTGAGTGTCAAAGTTCTACCACACCCATCATACTCTTCAGACCTCTAGCCAACCGACTACCATCTTTTCAAGCACTTTGATAACTTTCTCACCGGTAGAACCTTCGCCAATCAGGACCAGGCAAAAAACGGCCTTCGTCGATTTCATCGAATCCCGAGAACCCTATTTTGAACTGACGGACTTGTGATACGGACAAAACTTTTAAAACAACATAATAAATTATTATTTCATGGGAAAATAATGTCGCCTCTAAATCACCATTTCATGGTGCTGAAAACATCGTGGGAGGTTTAATTAACTGACTATTATGCTCAATGTTTTAAATTGGCAATCCATTCCCAAAGACTGCTATACTTCACAATGATCTTCGTATACAAAATATTGAACAATTTAGGACCATCTTATTTTAATCAGTATATTGTCTTTAATCACGATATTCACCACCACTTCACTCGAAATAATAATAACTTATATATTAACAGAACAAAAAACAAAAATACTATGAACTCATTGTTTTTCAAGGGTTTTGATCGGTTCAACAAATTACCTAATGCAATTAAAAATAGCCCATCTCTGAACATGTTCAAAAATGAACTGAAGAAATTTGTTTTAAATGAACAAATATGATATGTATTATGTCTTTGTTACCTGTAGCTGTAATTTGTATAATTCCATTCATCTAATGTTCGTTATATATTTCAAATAATTATGTAATTTATCTTTCTACATGTTGCATTGAAATTTTTCGAATGTATAATGTTGCTGTTTTTGTAGTAATGTCTTTAAAAATATTTTATTGAACTTATGTTTGTCATACATTTAAGTCATTTCTAT